TTATGGGATTTCTAGCTGCACGTGAGAACTGTCTGGCAACTTGTTCAGGAACCTTTAGAAGTTCGCGTTTATTATAAAAATAATATTGATGTGAACTGTTCAAAAATCTACCAATAACGCGCAGTGATCAATGAATTATCCCAGTAATGTAACGATGAACTGGAATTGAGGTTTTTCTGTTTGAGCAAATGTCGAAAATATGCATTTTATTGCGATGGAAATGTTTATGATAACCAATAAAGAACACTGGACAGCTGTTTCCTCCTGCTTGAGACTCGTCAGCAGTGCGTCCTTTTTGTGTCCCTGTCAGGACTCGAACCGCGATTCTTCGGGCTGGGACTTGAAACCCTTACACGGTCGATGGTTATCACCTTGCGCGAATGGCTCAATCAATTCCCCGAAGAATCGCGGTTCGAGTCCTGACAGGGACACAAAAAGGACGCACTGTTGAAGAATCCCAAACAGGACGAAACAGTTGTCCAGTGCTGTTTGTTGGTTATCACAACCATTTCTATCGCAATAAAATGCATACAAACAGTGGGGAATTAGCGATCTCCCAAGGAGTGAAACCCACATCGAACATCTGCAGCAGTGCCTGGTGCCTATGAAAAACCGAATGGGCTAATCCAAACAGCCACCATCTAAGTTAAAAATAAGCACCTAGCTAGAATGCATCACCTTGAAGATTATAGTTAAGACTGTGTGCGACGTGAAAACTGTTATTTATTGTATACCTCAACCTCAGAAAACATATTTGAGACATGAGACTAACGGAGGATTTGGTTGATCAAATGTTGAAGTTTGTCGTGTTCAGAGAACATGGAACATGAACTGAAAAGCTAGAAAGCACTGGAGAGCTGGTTGAATCTCATTAGCAGTGCGAATCCATCGACCTAACAAGGGGTCGAACCCGGTAGAACGCAAACACATTACTGCCTGGACTACCGGGCAGCCGATTAGACCGTCATTGACTTTACTCAAACACATGTAGCACAAACCATCTTTGCGAGCTTAATGGAAGCATCGCACCTCACCATTATACCTTTTCAACTTCAATTGAAACCGCCGTAACTTCAAGTGAATCCGTTGTAACTTCAACTGAATCTAACCAACCGCATTTCAATAGGAACCCCACAAGATGATTGATGTTTCGGCCGTCAAACGCCACCGATTGGACCAGGTCTGCCTAAACCTCGTCCAGTCCGAATGAACTAATATCTCCGAAAACAAACAAAAGTACTTTCTGAGTGAGTTACCGAGCGATGATAAAAGTTCCCGTGAGGTGGGTGGGCTGTTCGTACACCTCGACCCACCCTGGAACGTTATGCCCGTGGGCATTGATCGGGTGTGCCTCACGAACAAACCCGGCGGCATCTGACCTCTGTCGGTCGGGTAAGGAAGCAAATCACTTCAAGATTGATCGATAAATCGGTTATCATACTCAAATGTGAATGTTTGGACGAATCATTGCATGAGTGGCTTCAGTCTGGGCCCTTAATATCCCAGTGAGTAAATTCCATTGGGGCCGTGATTCCCTCAAATAACACTGATTCGTTTGAATCAAATTCGATTGCCTATTTATTTCTGACATTGAAATGAACACTTGACAAGATACTCAAAAATGGTACAAGGATACAATGACAGAATTAACAGTATTTCACCTGCATAGTAAAGTAAAATTTGAAACTATTCACTAGCTAACAGGAATCACATTTTTCCCGGACTGACTGTTATATTCAATCCACAATGCCCATGGCAACAATCTGTCACCTGCAACTTCTGCCTTCGCTACTCAGCTTCGTCGCGTAGGCTCTTATCCCGATTATTCATTGATCAACCCACCATATCTTTTGACATCCTGATTGCATCAGTTCTATCCTGATAGTTTACTGAATGAGACAGGTGGTTGTAAGAATGAGTTACAACTATATATGATCCCACGAACGATGATAACCCTGTACTAGGTGCTCCATGGGGTATCAAGTTGAGATGGGTAAAGCATTCTACCTACGGTTACCTTAATATTGATCCGCGATTTTCTACAGCGTGAGGAATAGTTGCCTCCACTGACGAATCCAGGAGTAACCCGGGAAATATGTTACAAAGTGACATCCGCGGTGGCACTGAATGTCAGTTGCTCCCCAAGGGAAATTTCTCTGGATGAATTAGGTAGGCAGGATTTCCTAAAAAAACCTCTTCGATTTTCTCAACCGGCAATGATTTATGCCATCAATCATCGTACCAAACATGATTCATTTAGGTGTAGTGCAAAGAAACTCAGCATTTTTTGCTCGATACAAAGCTATTGGGAAAGCTGTATCTTGGACAAGAACAACCAAAACGACCAGGATACCCACACCCCCGGCAAAAGAACGTCTGCCTCTGTACGCCAACTCTAATCTAATCTACCAATTCCAATGTGGTTGCGGAGCGACCTATGTGGGCCGAACAGAGCGACAATTACGCAATCGGGTGGTGGAACATATTCCAAATTGGGTCCAA